TCAGATGGGGAGTTTGTCCGGTTGTCGCTGTGGGCTGCAGTGGGGAGGGGTGATCCCAGCGCTGCCGTGCTTCTGGCCAGACATTCCTGCCCCCTCCCCGGGGACTCCTGCTCCAGCAGCAAACCTTGCATTTGGAGGGGAAGGGGGGGCTGAAAGAGGAGTGGGAAAAGGCAGAGAGGTGCCTGGAGGGAGAAGAAGTGTGGCTGTGCTAGGCTGATGTTCCCTCCAGCAAACCTTGTAGCCTGCACAAGGAACTAGGTGGTCTTCCAGGTCCCTTCCAACCAAACCACTCGCTGAAGTGTTTTTTGAAGTGACGTGCTGAAGGGCACCGCACGTACCAGGTGTGAGTCCAGCAGCCCTGTGACATTTGGGTTGTCTCTGCTCGGTGAGGTGATCAAGAGATGCAGGGTGGTGGATCTTGGCTTTGCACAGCCTGCCTGCTTTTAACAACATTTGCCTTTTGTCTGAAACGTGCCTCTGCCCTTCTGGCTGCTTGAATATCACTTGTACTGGTTTTGAGCACTCTGTCTTCTGTCTCAGGTGCTTTTGTAGACTCTCGAGTGCTGCCTCCTGAGACGTTTGTGTCCTGCTAGTGCCTACGTGCCGTGAGCTGTGCCACTGCCGTTGACTTCTGGCTGCTCCGCTGGGGATGGGCAGCCGGCAGGAATGTCAGCGCCCTGCTCCCTTTCCGCTCTCCCCTCTGCCCTGGCAGGAGGTGAGCTCCGCAGGCTTTGCTCTGTGTTCGCCTGCACCGTGAATTTACAGTTTGCCAGCAAAGATCTGTTCACAACACCTTCAAGGCTTGGATGGCGTGGTTTTCCTTCCGCTCCCGAAGACGGGAATGGACCGGAACAGAGTGAAACCCTTGGGAGATGTGGAGCCTGGGAAGGTCTAGGACAACGTACCTCTGCTGGCATTTTTTGCTGGGACACTGGTGCTGACTACAGTCTTTCCAAACCCTCATGGTGCTTAGTGCCCGGCTGGCCTGTTTGAGTGTGGCAGGAGGCTGTAGAGAGAGTATGGAGGCCGGGACAAAAGTACAGGAAAGGGGGATTTAAGAAGGCAAGACGATGAGCAACACTGGAGCACCTCCAGGGTTTTACGGCAGGGTGAGGTGGGAAGCGATGGTCTCCCCTGGAGAACTAGGGGAAGGTTGGAGACTGCTCCCGTAGTGGAGGGAGTTCTTGCTTGGGTGTTTAGAGCAGGCTCGGTGCTCTTGGTGAAGCAGGGTCTTCTCCCGACGCTCATTTCGGGTGCTGTGCCGGTCTGCACCAGATTGCATCGCCTGGTCTTGCCCATTATCAAAATTATAGCATGTTCTTCCCTATCAGGGTTGGAAGAGATGGTCGGGAGGAGGGGAGTCGTTGTCGCCTCAGTGTGGGCTGTCCAGCGAAGCCCCTGATTGCTTTTCCGTCTCATGGCTTCCCGTCTCTGCCTGCCACAGGGAGCTTTTCTTGGGCCGAGAGCAAACCACAGTGATTGGGTTCTCCGCTAACCATCGCTTGCTTGCTTGTTGGTGTTGCTGAGCCTGCTCTTATCCTTCCTGCTATCAGTTTTAATTAGCAAACTCTACACCCCACAGCTTGGTTTTGTGAGGGATGCCAAAGACGTCACCCAGGAAAGCCAAATAGGATGACCAGCAAACTCTATTAATGAGTGGAAGACTAATGAACTTTTTAATTAGCAGGTGTGTGGGTGCAAGAAGAAGGTGCAACGAGACATGCGCATCGTGACAGCAGAAGCATGCCAAGAGGCGCCAGCCAAGGACCTGAAATTGCCTCTGATGGAGCAGGAGCTTCTGGCGCGTCCTTGGGCCTGGTTGTGCTTCCTGCGGGTCAGGGAAACGAGGGCGGCAGCAAGTCAGGTACAATGCCTGAACCTCTCTTTTGGTTTTGGTTAGAGAAAGGTGGGCAGTTCTGCCCAGCTGAGAGCAGCGTGGGAGAGCAACAGAGAGCTCTGTGCAGTCGGGCAGCAAAGAGGGAAAGGCTGGTTTGAGTTGCTCTGAGGAGGACACCTAGCTCCGGTGTGAGCTCTTGAAATCTGCCCGATGATGATCAGAAGCCAGGTTGTTTCCCAACACTGGCACTTCTTTGTGAGCCCAAGACAAGCTTGTTACCCTTAGGAGACATGGAAGAGTTTGCCTCTCAGAATTGGAGATGGAGGCAGATTCTTTGCTTCCACTTGTGCAAGTTTGGCCCAAGAAACACATGGCATGCTGTCAACATGTGTGGGTTGCAGTCTGACGAACCAGAGTGTTGACAGGCTACAGGCGCTGCAAGAGGCAGACCCAGGCTGAAAGCTGTCCCAGGCAAGCAGTACTGAAAGTCTCTGTGCTGCATTTGACAGAAAAGGTTGTACCAGCTACTTCCACATCTCTCTGCAGTAGGAGTTTGCTGGTGAAGGATGGAATGTGCAAACTCCTACAAAAGCAGTGCTGCAAGTCCTGTTCACAAGCGCATGTCTATAAAATAAACTCTTTTGAGAATTACTGTAAAAGGGCTGTGACCGTTCTTAATCTGGAGGGAGAAATCTAGCAATATCATGCTAGGCTTAGAAAGTTGGGCACGGCCCTGGGCGGCATCACGGTGTCCTTCACCTTTGGAGTGCTGCTGGCTTCACACAGCTGAAGTAGAAGTGTTTCACATTCGTGTAGCCATGGGGGCGGAAAGGTAGCCAACGTTCAGCCCTCTGGGTCTTATGGCGTTGGCCTGTCAGTCTTCATTTTGTCCAGTGTGGATTTGCAGTGGTCTTTCATTGAGTCTCCTTACCTTTGGAGAGGGTGACATCCTGTACACATTAAACCTGGTATTACACTTACCCCCTGAAGTCCAGTGCAGAGACCAGTGCCTTAATCCAGTTTGGCCTGATGCAGCTGTACTACCCCATGTGCAGCGTAGCTCTTTGATGCCTCTTTCTTCTGGCACCCTTTGCAGTTCCTCCTTATGTTTGCTAGTTTTTCTGACATCCAGGAAAGGTTCCTCTGTTGGGGTCTTCCAGGTCCAGGGTGCATACCGTGCTCAATTAAATGGGCTGCTTTAATGCTGTGGAAAAGCCATCCAGAAATGTCTCCATTATGTGTCTGATTTGATACGAGGCTAGGATTTCTTTCCACGTGGTTAGTCTTGCCCAGGACCTTGACTTCTTTCACAGTCAATAACATAAGGCTTTGAGCCAATACTTTGCATGCTTTGTCCTTTTGTCCATATTACTTTAACACCTTCTCCTTGTCTTACAGTGAACTTTGATGTACCTGGGACACAGCTTGTCAGCAATAACTGTTCATCAGCTGGTGACATGGCAGTGTCTGGCTGTGGTAAGTAATAATGCCTCTCCGGACTGCCTTTGCCCCTTGTACTGAAACTGCTGATTTCTGCTAAATGAATCACGAGTTCTTCCAATCGCACCAGTTTGATGTTCCTCGCTTACAGAGAAGACCAAGTGTTTGGGTGCTCCCATGTCCACCTCTCGCATGTTTAAAGTGCTGTCCTGGAACCAGGGAGCCATTTCTCACTGAGATCTCGCGAGGGCTTCTTTAATGGTGCTGTCAGATGTTTCTGCATTCCTACGTGGAGCAATTACTTCTCCCATGTAATTTGCCCACTGATTGAGGAATTCTTCCACAAGATACGATAATCGTTCACGTTCCATGGTGCTTGGTGTTTTCTTCCTGCTTTAGTTTGGCAGTGTGTGGTAGCCAGGCTCGTGGTGATCTCAAGAGGGAACCCTTCTTCCAAAACGCTTCTCTCCAACACCACAATCCCTTTAATGGAGGTCTCTGTGGTTCCCGTGGGCGTTTTGTGGCAGTTTAGCCCAATTTCAACTATACTGGAGCCCATGATGTCTTCAGCTCAGCCCTCAGACAGAGACGTGCCTTCTGTCAGGGTCCAGATTTCAGAGGTGCCTTTGGTGAGCTCCGTATGTTCAAACCTTGTAATTTCCAGGAGGCTGCTGGTGGGGCCGATTATCTAGCTGGGCTTCTCATCCCTCCTGTGGAATTTGCAGCCACTGCAGATTTGCATGGCAGGAACCTGGGTATGGGGGGTGGCTTTAATTAGCGTGTTTTTGGGCTGGGACACGGAGGCCTCCGGAGCCTGAAGAAGTCCACTGGAAATCACCGGAACCCTAGGATCAGATATGGGCGGTTGTGTTTAAGGAAAAGACCTGCACGGGCAGCAGATTTTTCCTCTAGATTGCTGGTTAGCAAGGCGGAAACAAGCCGCACTGCTGGTCTGGCACCTCCTGAACGCTTAGGAGCGATGGCTCCTCCCTTGGCAGCTTGCTTTGTCCCCCCACCCCATTGCCTTGTATATAAGGCCCCCTCGGAGCAGCCTTGGCACAACACAGCCCGCTCCAGCGAGGCAGAGAGCAAGCTGCACCGCCAGCTCCAGCACCTCTGCTCTTGAGGAGAGTGAACCAGAAGGCACTCGGCATGGGTAAGAGATGCTCGGCAGCCTCCCCGCAGCCCACAGCAGCTGCAAGCCTTGTAGCTCCGTCCGGGATGAGTGAGGGGCTCAGAGGGCGCAGAAGGGAACTGAGCAGTGGTTCCACCAGGTGGGACACAGTCTTCTGAAGAGGCACCTTTTAGGACATGGGCGTTTCTCATTTTATTCTTCTCTTCTTCTCAAATCAGACAGATGCAGAGTTCAGTGCTACGAGTACCCCACCTGCCCGGATGTTCTGAAAGGCGAGTCTTCCCCTTGAGCGTGTGCTAGAATGGGTGGTGTTTGGGAAAGAACTCCGTGTTGGTGCAAACCTCCATTCATTAACTCTTTGTGCTGAGTCCCCAGCGGGAGCAAACTGTAACCATATGGGGATCGACTTCTGTTGTTCTCTTACCTCTGGGCCAGTAATGGCACCAGGGCTCGACAGCTGTCAGTGAGCAAGGAGCAAGGTTGCAGCATCCAAAAAAACAAGTTCAGTCCTATCTGAGAGTCTGTGGAAGCTTTGCTTTTCCTTTCTGGCTGGTTTATGGCCTGTTTTAACCCAAGCTTTCTGTATACCCAGCTCCTAGAGAGGAGGTTGCCTACGTGACCTGTACCTACAGGGAAACAGGCATCGACGAACCTGACTTCCTGGCCACCATCGATCTCAACCCCAGATCTCCATGTTATGGCCAGGTACCTGTGTCTCAACTGGTTTTTTATTGGGCCGATGACTGCCTGCTGGCTCTCTGTGTTGGATCCATTACATTGACTCTTTTCCACTGCCCTCTGTATGCCTGGCTCTAGTTGAATGACCTCTGTCTCTGTATCCTGGGAACAAGTTGGCTCTGCCTCCTTTCCCAGCTCACTTCCAGAGAATGCCGGTGCTGCGAGTGAGCTTTGGAGCAGCTGCTCTGAACCACCCTGTCCGTGGCTGCTCAGCACGGACAACGGTCTCCAGTCAGCCAGGTGGTTAGGGAGATCCAGCAGTTGGTAGAGTTCAGCACGTTTCTGTTGTGCTGCCATGTCAGAGATGTTCTGTTACGCACGGTACCTGCTGCCATCCTAAATGGGAAACTGGCATTTACCTATCTCTGAAGGCTGCCAAGACAGGTTGCCTACATCTACTGTGCATCTTTGAACTGAGCAGTCGTGCTGAAGCTTGACATTTTCCACAGATCTCCTTTGGCGCAGGGAGTGGTGGCATCACCTCTAAGCTGCTGGTTGCATTGAAGTCCCGTTTCTCCCTGCCTCCCTGTGCGAACCCTAACTCTGCCTTGACTGCCTAGGTGATCCACCGCCTGCCCATGCCCAACCTCAAAGACGAGCTGCATTCCGTGGGCTGGAGCGCTGGCTGCACCTGCTTTGACAATGTCACAACGAGAAGGAACAAGCTGATTCTTCCCTGTTTGATTTCTTCCCGCATTTACGTGGTGGATGTGGGTTCACAGTGCCGCGCTCCCAAGATCTGTAAGGTATGGCTGAGGTGATTCAAAGAGGAGTTTCTGGGAAGGAGCTGGGAACTGCTGCTTCTGGAATAATACACAGGGAAGAAGGGTTCTCTCCTCATCTTCTCTTCCATCCTGATCTTAGAGAGCTGGGTCACGTTCCCCTCTCAGCTCTCTCCTTTTCAGACCAAGGAAGGCTCCGATCATCATTGCTTTCCTCTCTGTGTGCCTGTTGTGCTCAGAGAGAGCCTAATAGCTGGAAGTCACGGCACAGACAGAGAAGCTGTTAGGAGTTCGGTGTGGCTGCGTTCTTGCTGTCTGTGTAGAGGGGAGCTCAGAGGCTGTGTGCTCCTCTGCAAGGAGGAGCAGGCCCTCACGAGTGGGAGTTCTTGGAAAGAAAGCTCCTGCAAGCGTCAGAGCTTTTCAGAAGCCTCTGGTGGTCTGAGGCTCTGGCAGGGAGTGTGAAGTGAGCTGAGCAGTCGGAGGCTGAAGTGCATGTGTGTGTATGTCAACTTTTTTCAGATGATTGAGCCAGTGGATGTCTTCTGGGACTGCAACAAGGCACACCTCAATGTGCCTCGCAGCCTGCCTAATGGTGATATTCTGATTGCCAACATGGGAGATCCATCTGGGAATGCGAAAGGTACTCTGCCCTGTAAGAACTCCATGACCGGACTGACTGGTCTGGAAGTGGAGGACGTGATTTGTCATGCATCCCTTTTTTGTATCACAGGTGGATTTATTGTGCTGGATGGAGAGACCTTTGAGCTGAAGGGGAACTGGGAAAACCGGTGTGAGGTCCCCCCGACTGGATACGACTTCTGCCTCCAGCCCTGCCACAATGTTCTGGTCAGCGCTGCGGGAGCAGTCCCAAAACGTATAGGACGTGGATTTAACCCCGACGACTTGAAGAAAGGTGAGGGAATACAGATGCACATGCTGAGCCAGAACTGACAGGGGTGGTGGGAGGCTGTCGATGCCGACAGAGAAAGGGCCTGAGCTGGAGAGGGGGGACAAGCAGATTTCTCCCCAAACGGCCCATTTTACAGGCAGGGCTACTGGACGTGCAGCGCCTGTCGTTCAGACAGGCTGTTCCCTGTCTTCACCCGCTGCTCCCTAAATCACTGCGGGTTCTCTGTGCATTCTGGCTAGTCACCGCCATGGCTGTCCCTGTCTGTGAGCATTTTGGGGAGGGCTTAATGTCCACTGGGAGCCCCCCGCTTCTGACTTGGTTTTCCTTTTCCTCAGGGGTCTTTGGGCGCCGCCTGAACATCTGGAACTTGTCCTGCCGCAGCCTCATCCAGTGTTTTGACCTGGGGGAGGATTCTCTGCCCCTGAGTGTTAAATTCCTCCACAACCCCAATGCTGCCGAGGGATACGTCAGCTGTGCCCTGAGCGGCATCGTCTACCGCTTCTACAAGTGCGAGGCAAGTATTCTGCCAGCAGCTGGGGCAGACCTGGCCATGGTGAGCTACAAGGGGCTGGAGAGACGCACAGAAGAGATTTGGGGTAGCAGAGAGAAAGAAGGAGGTGTGTGGAGAGGGCGGTATCCAGACCCTGCTTTGGACGGGTGTGCTAGAATGAGAGGGGTCCGTCTGTTCTTCCACCGAGCGTGAAGGAGCCCATTGTGACCGGCTGGGGTGAACATCGGGGGGATTAACTTGAGCGGTGAAGCCCAGCCTTGCTGTTGGTATGAGAGGATGCTGTCCCTAATTGTGTCTGCTCGTCGTAGCTGAGTGCTGTGGCAGCCTTCCTCGGGCAGCTCTGCCTGGCTGTGCAAGTGTGCGAGTGCAGGGCAGCGCTCTTGCCTGACCGGCCCGGAGGGCTCATGGTGCGGTGCCTGTGTTTCTTGTGCAGAGAGACAACTGGGCAGTAGAGGAGGTGATTCGGATACCGGCCAAGGACGTGGCGGGATGGATTATGCCCAAGATGCCAGGTTCGTGTGCCCTGAGGTGGGGGTTCCTTTTGCCTCCCGGAGCGTTGAGTTGGGCAAAAGCCTGGCAAAGTTAACGCGCTGAGCCCCAAAGCCTTGCTGTGTAAACATGACGGAAGGCTTGTCGGAGGGGCTGAGGGGCTGAGGGGCTTTGCACACCCCCAAGAAGACACCGCAGGCCAGCTGGAGCCTGTGCGCTTGGGCAGGTCTCCGCTGCTAGAGGCACGACACGCAGAATGGCGGGGAGAGGTGCGAGCTGGGGCTGGAGGCCAGGCACGTTTTCTGTTGATGCTGCCGTCTCTGGAGCTCTTTGTTTCTGTGCCCTAGCCTTCACATTCGACCTGGTCATCTCAAAGGACGACAAGTACCTGTATCTCAGCAACTGGCTGCACGGAGACATCCGCCAGTATGAGCTCTCCAAAACCTGCAAGCCCAGGCTGGTGGGACAGGTAAGGCGGGAGCAGAAGGGCTTGCACGAGTGGGTTCCTGAGCAGGATGTGGTGGTGGTCGGATGACGAAGCAACACGTCTCCTGCTGCCTGGCTTCCAGGTGTTTGTGGGAGGCAGCATCCTCAGAGGTGGCCCCGTGGCGGTGTGTAGAGATGAAGAGCTGCAGTGCCAGCCGGAGCCCTTGGTGATCAAGGTGAGTTCTGCGTCCTCGTTGCCCTCTGGTGTCCTTTGGCCTTTGGCTCTGCTCTGCTAATTCTCTGCCCAGGGTTTCTGGGGTAGGTCTCCGCTGCAGTGGCCGTGTGGCCGCAGCATCTGGTAGCTCGCCTGTGTTGGGAGGGGAGGCAGGTGCTCGGTTCAGCTCTGCTCCCGCTTGTGCCTGGCTGCGCAAAGAAAGAAGCTGGTAACATCACTGCTGTGCGTTGTGCCTTCAGTGCAAGAGAGTGTACGGCGGCCCTGGTAAACTGCAGCTCAGCGCGGATGGCAAGAGGCTGTACGTCACCAACTGCTTCTACAGCACATGGGAGAAGCAGCTCTACCCGAACGTGGTCAAGTAAGAAACCTTTGAGAGGCAAGGGGCCTCTTCTGGATTCCCTCTGTGTTAGAAAGGGGAAAGGCGCCTCGTCTGGGGGGCTACAGGGACACGTTTGGGATTGCAGGGAGACCGTCCCCGCGGCTTCCTCATGTTGCATTTCATGTGCAGTTGACTCACAGACATCTCTGGCTGGGCAGGGTGCAGCTGCTGCCTGTGTGGAGCTGCTGTGGCAGGGATTTGCTTGGGAGAGCATAAGCGTTTCAGTCGGAAAGGTGGAGTGGATCCTGTGAGAGCCAGGCCGGGGCTCTGTACAGCATCTCCCAGTGTATCCACCAGAGAAGTTTTGAGTCAGCAAAGCAGACGATGATCTCCACCACAAAGGCAAGCTCCAGCCTCCCTGTCGCATCGTGCCTAGTTGTTTACTCACGTCCCTTGAGAATTCAGGAGAAAAGCATGAGCACTGGTGCATGCCACTGCTGAAACTGAGCCTCTGCTCCCTTCTCCCTGTAGAAGGCAAGATGTTACGGAGAAAGGCTCTTCCTCGCTGTGGAATAGGAGGGTGAAGGGCAGGGTCTCTTGAGCAGGACCATGGTTTGCTTGTCTGTAATAGCTGCGCTCTTGTCCCCTGGCAGGGAAGGCTCTGTCATGCTGCAGATTGATGTGGACACTGAGAGCGGAGGCCTGACCGTGAACGAGAAGTTCCTGGTGGATTTTGGAAGGGAACCCAATGGGCCTTGCCTTGCCTATGACATCTGCTTCTCTTCTCTGAATTCCACCTCCGATACCTCGGCCTAGGCACCACGTGAAAGACTCCCTTCTTCTCCTTCTCCTGTAGTGCAGTCGTTAAGAAAGAGCGTAGGGTAATTGGGTTTGGGAGTCCCCATCCATCGCTGGAGTCTAGATTTCTGCTGACGTGAGCAACGGAAGCTCTGCCTTGTTGCGAGGGTTTGGTTCGGGCAGACCAGTGAACAGACGCATGGCATGTTTTTGGTGGTGTTCTCAGCGCAAAGCAATCCCTGGGCAGGATTCAGAGAGCAGAGCCCAGGGCGATTGCTGCCATACAGAGATGGGCAGTACGCACAGCGCCTTTTGGCAGGAGGAGAAGTGCCCGGTTTGTCTGAGTTGCTGTTCTTCAGCCAGGTCATTCCTGGATGGTCTTCCCCTGGCACGAGAGCCCTCTTGGCTCGCTTCTCACGTGCTTGGGTCGCTATGTGTCACAGCTGAAGGACTATCAAGTGCTTTATTTCAAAAAGAGGTGCCTGTTTCCTGACACTGGTTTGGTCTTGTGTTCTGCTTTAAACACGAATAAAACTGTTCATCACATCAGCCAGATCTTCACGTGTTTTATTTCACTGAA